ACAAAGAACAATACAGCAAAGGAACAGGCCCTTCAGCCCTCCAAACCTGCACGGACACATTTTGCCCGTCCATACTAAAACTGTCTACATTTGCAGGATCCATATCCTTCTATTCCTTTCCTATTCATGCATTCATCCAAGTGTTTCTTAAATGCTGCTACTGTGACTTCGCACTTTGTAACAGGCTGCCATGAGGGACCTTGTCAAAGGCTTTACTGAAGTCCACGTAGACAACATCAACCGCTTTTCCTTCAATCATCTTTATCACCTCCTCAAAAACCTCGATCAAATTAGTGAGGCACGACCTCCCCCACACAAAACCATGCTGTCTATCACTAATAAGTCCATTTGCTTCTAAATGCGTATAGATCCTGTCCGAGAATCTTTTCCAATAATTTCCCTACCACCGACATGAGGCTCACAATGGCTGTAATTTCCAGGATTATCCCTGCTACCCTTCTTAAACAATGGGACAACATTGGCTATTCTCCAATCCTCTGGGACCTCACCTATGGCCAAAGAGGATATAAAGATATCTGTCAATGGTCCACCAATTTGTTCTCTTGCCTCCCTCAATATTCTGAGGTAGATCCCATCAGGACCCGGGACTTATCGACCTTAATAGTTTTTAATACTTTTTTTACCTCATGTTAAGAAATATCTAATGGAATTCACATAAAGTGGGTCTGAGAGAATGAGTACTAAGCAAGGAGGAGGACAGAGTGATTGAAAGCTGTTGAATAAAACCAGAATCAAAAACTTCTAAAACTTTTATTTGACAGGGATTACTTTTTTTTTTCCTGTATTCATTTACAGGATGAGGGCATCACTGTCTAGGCAGCATTTATTGCCCATCCCTAATTGCCCAGAGGGCAATTAAGAGTCAACCACATTGCTGTGGGTCTGGAGTCACATGTAGGTCAGACCAGGTGAGGATGGCAGTTTCCTTCCCTGAAGAAAATTAGTGAACCAGATGGGTTTTTCTGACAATCGACAATGGATTCACAGTTATCATTAGATTCTTAATTCCAGATATCTTATTGGATTCAAATTCCACCATCTGCCAAGGCGGGGCTTGAACCTGGGTCCCCAGAACATTATCTGGGTCTCTGGATTAACAGTCCAGCGATAATACCACTAGGCCATTGCCTCCCCCGAACAAATTACTGAATTAATGAACAAAAGCAGTTAAGATATAGATCAGCCAGAATCAACCTTCCCCAAGCTCTACAACAGGGTTGAGGGGCTGAACATCCACTCCAGTGCTTCTGGTAATGTTCGGTATGCACCCTGTAGTGTAACTAATCCAGTAAAGTATTCTTGCAAGGAGGTCTCAGCAGTCAGCACAATTGTGTTATACCTGCTCAATGCCACATCACCACCGTTGCAATGAGACAGAGTTTCTTTTGAAGAGAAACTAGGTGCTTTGCCAAATTGAGAACAGCAAACAAGTAGTTCAAAAACTATTCAAATGCCCAGCTGTCGCTTAATCAACAAGTGCAAGGAGACTCTGGGCAGACAATCCTGTCAACACTAGACATGGCTGCATAAACCAGAAGACCAAAAGAATCTTCACCCTCTTTGGCCTACTGTATGTAAACAGGATCCATTCAACATCTGAAAGTTCTGACATACAAGCACAGACCCTTCAGCTTGCCCCGCTATAAAATCACAGCTACTTGTGGATAGATAAGAAACATGATTAAAATCCCAGTGTCAATGACTAGATAATTTTTCTGATCAATTCCAACTGGTAACCAAAGGATGTCCATGAGACCACAATGGCTTAGGTTTGTATTATTTGATGCTTAACTCTTGTATAATGCAACCTCCACTTCAGCTAGCACTCTCTCTAAGGGACACTGAACTCACCATCCAAATCACTAAACCTGCTCCACAAATATATCTCCAAAATAAAAAAAGAAAGCAGTCTACCCAATATCTCCCCTTGTACAATCTATGTGCACAACCCTTTAGTCCTTCCACAGCAAAAGCACTTAAATGGTTTTGCTGTGACCAGAAAGTGCAGATTTCCGATAAGCCTTGGTGGAACAGGTTTAAGGCCATCTGCACAGCCATCTGTTTCCAATGTTCCCACAAGATGTGATCAGTTTGTCCATTTAGTTGGAAGGCCAGCAGAGGATTTGACATGGACCCCAAATTGGCACTCACTCACCTTTAGCTTCGATGGTTGGTAGGCATGGTGCGTTCCTTTCCATAGTGCCCGCAGCAACACCGCAAAGCCAATGGCCAGTCGGCCGCCAGTTCCCAGAGGGTTGTTGTAATTTAATTCAGACTCAAAGGATCGATCTAGTCAAAGTTAGAGCAAAATTTAACTTGCAACGAGGACTTAATCTTTCTTCAGCAAAAGCTCATATTGAAAATTCAAAAGAATAAATCACTTTTTGTACATCGTATCAAAGATTTAAAAAAGTATTTGAATTGAATGAATTGCTGAGGTGCGATGAGTTACACAGCTTTTCTGACACATCACCAGGCCACAAAGCATACAGTTAATTAGATATTTTTTGTGTAGTTGAAAGAGCTTGCTTAATTTAGTACCTTTCACATCTCTTTAAAGTCAATGAAACACTAGCAAACGTAGTCACTGCTACAATGTGACACCATGGCAATCAATTTGCACATTCAAAGATCCCAGAAGCAGCAGTGATGTTGACACAGCAAACGGTTCAAGAGATGCTGGTTCAGCTTGGGACAGTGGGAAGAACACCTCTGCCCCTTCTTTGAAACAGTACCATATTTTTCATCCAATCAGATACACAGAGCCTTGAATAACATCTCGTATGAAAGATGGCATCATAAAGAGTGTGTCAGGAGTGAGGGAGCCGTATAGAGTTCTGGTCTGGATGCTATACTGCTTCAGGCTTTAACACATGTTCTGACACAAGCAAGAGGGAGCACATTAGCCACCCTACACCAACAGCACAACCAACAAGGTTTCTCTTTGAAGAAGTGAACTTGACTTTTTTGCACTCACCATGGAAGTAATCACGAAGCTCTCGTGTATTGGACAGTGACTGGATCACACTGTTCATGAAGCAAGTGTTTCCTAGGTTGACCAGCCCTGTGAACCCTGGCAGACAGACCTTTTTCTCCTCCTCCTCTTCTTCCTCTTCAGTTTGCTCCGTATTGGAGACACCATGGGTCATTGGGGTCACCATGCAGGTGGGCTTGGGCTTTAGCACACAACACAAGGTTAAGTTCATACAAAGTACAGAAAAAGGCAAGGAAAACTTACAAATTACGATGTTACTTAACCAGGAGCAAATGTAGGTCAGCAAACATTGGTGTGTAAAGCTTGTTGAGAATCAAGACAGGCTGCGTTTTGGATGACCTCAAGTTTATGGAGGTTAGAATGTGGATGAGCAGCCAGGAGTGAACTGGGTTAGTCAAGGGAAGTAAAAGTGGCATGGATAAAGTTTTCAGCAGCTAATGAACTGATCATGGGCAAAGTGGAATGATATTATGGAGGTGAAACAGGCAGCTTTAGTGATGGCACAGTTGATATTGTCGGTTCAGCTCAGCATTAAATGTCACATCAAGGTTCCAATTAGACTGGCTTGATCTCAGACTGCTGACAGGAAGAGGGACAGAGTTAGTAACTAAGGAAAAGAGTTTGGCACAGGAACTGAAAACAATGGCTATAATCTTCCCAACATTTCATTGGAGCAATTTTTTGCTCAGCCAGTACTAGATGTCCGATAATTTACCAAATATCAAGTGATGAGGGGTGTTACGGTGACATAGAGCTGAGTGTTGTCACTGTGCATGTGATGATACTTCCCAAAAATAACTGCTTCGAACTTTTCCCTGAAGCTGCACTTTTGAATGATATTACCAAGGAACACAAAGGAAAATAGGAGGGGTTAGGGTAGAGCCCTGGAACACAAGAGGAGTAACAATGCAGGAGCAGGAACAGAAGTTAAGCAGTGATTCTCAGGTTACAATAAGTTAGCCAAGAATGGAACCAGACGAGAGTAACGCCTCCAGCTGGACAACAATGATATCAACAATTGTGTCAAAGACTACTGACAGGTCAAAAAGGATAACAAGGTAAGTTTACCTTTGTTACAGTCACACGGGGAGACATTTGCAACATTGATCGCAACTGTATTGACACCATGACCCCTAACTTGGACTTAAACGTGGATTTAGAATCATAGAAACCCTACAGTGTGGAAACAGGCCCTTCGGCCCAACAAGTCCACATCGACCCTTAGAGCATCCCACCCAGACCCATCCCCTTATAACCCACCTAATCTACACATTCCTGAACACCACGGGCAATCTAGCATGGCCAATCCACCTAGACTGCACATCTTTGGACTGCGGGAGGAAACCGGAGGAAACCCAAGCAGACACGGGGAGAACATGCAAACTCCACACAGACAGTCGCCCAAGGGTGGAATTGAACCTGGGTCCCTGGCGCTGTGAGGCAGCAGTGCTAACCACTGAGCCACTGTGCTGCCTTCCAGGAAGAGTTTTGTAAACTGACAACATTTCATTTGCCTCTTAAGTACTAGCAAGTGGTAACAACTGCAGGTTGGTCTGGAAGCCAACTACAGAAATTTATGGCACAGAAAAACATCCAAGCTTGATGATGTGACCTAATACTTAGTTGATTAAGCCTCCCATCTCCCATCTTATGAGAAAACTCAAAGAGCCAGATTCGATTTAGAAATCCACTAAAACAAGTATTTTCAGCTCCTCTCTGGATAAGCAGGTATACCCCCAAGATACATCGTCTGAAATGGAAACATCAATTGCTCAGATTGAGGTCAGGCTCCCAACTTGCTCATTAATGTCACTTTAGAGAAGGACATCTGCCACCCTTATCTAGCTTGACCTTACATGTGAATCCAGTCCCATACTAATGTGACTGATACTCAACCCTCTCTGTGATGGGCCAAGAAGCCCCTCAATTGCATCAAGTATGGACAGCAGATCAAATTACTGGCTTACCACAAACATCCCATCCCAGGGTAACTAAGAGTAAAGGCATCAGCCTTTCCAGTGACACACACATCAAGAATCAATCAAGGAAAGTTTAACATCGCTTTAAGGAGAACAGTGAACTTGGAACGTAAATTACTCACCGATGTTACAAGAGTGTCCTGTTTAATCTGCACACTGTCAGGAGTAGACCTGATTGCCACCGACTCAAGGCTGGCCTCTTCTGTGCGCATTTTCTCCTTCTCATTGGAACGTGGCTCGTCCTTGGGAGGAAGTGTGTGCTGGCTGCTCCCAGGCTGTGCCTTATCCAGCGATGGAGGGCCTGCAGGCACAGCTACTTTCGCACCCCCCACTGCACCTTAAACAGGGGAGCACAAGGCCTGTGTTTAGAAGGTCCAGTGAAAACACACACAGGCTTAAGCATTCTTGTAAACAACTTCCACAGGAGTTCTTGCCTTTCTCGCCTTGGTTAGATACAGGGTAAAGCTCTTTCTACGTGTCCCAAACACTCCCAGGACAGGGAAAGCACACGGTTAGATACAGAGTATAACTCCCTCTGCACTGTCACATCAGTGTCATCTATTCATTCATTCATTTATAAATGAAACTGAGCACAGTAAAGAGTCTGTTTGGTGGACATCGAGCTGAGCTACATTGTGGAATATGCCAGCCAGGCTGTGTACAGTTTTTTTTCAAATTTGGGAAATGGATTTATAGATTACAAACAACTCCGGCTGAATACCAATAACTCTCGGGTCTGTGGGAGCAATGTACAAGGATATTAAATTTGAAACCCTTTTTCTTATGTATTTGAAGGGGAAGCAACATCCTAGTGGTATTATTGCTGGGCTGATATTAGAGTCATTGAGTCCTGCAGCACAGAGACAGGCCCTTCAGCCCAAACTGGTCCATGCCGACCAAAATGTCTATCCACGCTAAGTCCAATTCCCTGCATTTGGCCCATATCCTTCTAAACCTTTCTTATCAATGTATTCATCCAAATGCCTTTTAATTGTTCTTAATGTATCCACCTCAACCGCGTCTGCTGGCAGCTCATTCCATATGTGTACCATCCTCAGTGTATAAAAGTTGTCCCTCAAGTTCCCATGTATTTTTTCCCCTCTTACCTTAAACTGATGCCCTCTAGTCCTCAATTCCCCAACCCTGGGAAAAAGACTGAATGTATTCACCTTATCCATGCCTCTCATGGTCTTATACACTTCTATTAAAATTCCCCCTCAGACTCCTTGGCTCTAAAGAAAATAGTCCCATCTTGTCCAACCTCCCCCTATAACGCAGTCCCTAGAGTCCAGGCAACATCCTTGTAAATCTCCTCTGCACTCTTTCCAGTTTAATTACATCTTTCCTATAGCAAGCTGACCAAAGTAGAACACAATACTCCAAGTACAACCTCACCAATGTCCTGTACAGCAGCAACATAACTTCCCAACTTCTGTACTCAATGCTCTGACTGATGAAGGCCAGTACGCCAAAAGCCTTCTTCACTGCCCTGTCTACCTGTGACTCCACTTTCAGAGAACTGTGCACCTGAACTCCAAGTTCGCTCTGTTCCACTGCACTCCTTAAGGCCCTACCACTCATCGTGAAACTCCTACCTTGATTTGACTTTCCAAAACGCAACACCTCACACTTATCTATATTAAACTCCATTTGCCATTTCTCGGCCTACTTCCCCAGCTGATCAAGATCCTGCTGCAATTTCTGATAACCCTCCTCACTGTCCACGATTCCGCCTGTTTTAATGTCATCCACAAACTTACTAATCATGCCTTGTACATTCTCATTCAAATTATTGATATGGATAAACAGCACTGGGCCCAGCACCGACCCAAGGCACACCACTAGTCATAGGCCTCCAGTTCAACAAGCTTCCTTCCACTGTTACCCTCTGCTTCCTACCATCAAGCCAATTATGTATCCAATTTGCCAGGTCTCCCTAGATTCCATGCAATCTAACCTTTCAGATGAGCCTCCCATGTGGAACCTAATCAAAGGCTTTAGTGAAATCCATGTAGACTACATCTACCACCCTACCCTCATCAACCTTCCTGGTTGATCTTCTTCAAAGATCCAGACACCCAGGTAACGTTCTGGGGACCTGGGTTCGAATTCCGTCACAGCGTCTGGTGGAATTTGAATTCAATAAAAATCTGGAATTTTGAGTCTAATGATGACTATAAATCCATTGTTGATTGTCGGAAAAAACCCATCTGGGTCAGTTCTTTAGGGAAGGAAACTGCCATCCTCACCTGGTCTGGTCTGGCCTACAGGTGACTCCAGACCCACAGCAATATGGTTGACTCTTAACTGCCCTCTGGGCAATCAGGGATGGGCAATAAATTCTGGCCTGGTCAGGTCAGTGATGCCCTTATCCCATGAATGAATATTAAAAAAAATATTGAAATGGTATTCTATCCACTTTAACAGCCCAGGCAGTTTTTAGGAACTTTATGACAAGGATATGCTCAGTTAATGGAGATTCCTAAACAGAAAAATATCAAATTAAACTCTCCCAGGAGCCTCAGTGGAAATGGCTATTCAGCTAGGGAAAAAATTTCATGGAATTTTAAAGTCCATCTTAAGTGTGCTGGTGCTCTTGAATGAATCGTTCAACTAATCTCCTCTTCTTCCGCAGCCCTGTAAATTCTTCCCCTTTGAGTAAAGGACACACTTATGCCATTCCAAACCTCCAGCCATAACTGTCCACAGTCCAAGAGAGGCAATAGATATACATCTCTATTTTCTGTTCTTCTGCATGCAGCTATCATTCCTTTCTATGTTCAGTTTCTGATAGTGTTTACCTATTTCTCTCTAAACAACATGGGGTACATTACTGGTGGGTTTGTCTCTGCATGGCAATGGGGTTCAGTGCTGATAGGGACAGGTCTCTCACTGTATAATACTAGTGGGTCAGTACTGGCGGGCACAGGTCTGTCACTGCATCAATACTGTGTCAGACCTACCTCACCAGCGTTGGACCACCGTTATACAATGACAGACACAGGGGACACCTATTGAGGCACATTGATAGTGCCCCTATCTCTGGGCTCAGAGGGCTAGGTTTAGGTTCTACCTGTTCCAGAGGTGTATCATAACATGTCTAAACAAGTTGATTAGAAAATATCTAGTGACAGACTTGTCCCAACCAGTACTATATCCCTTATACAATGAGAGTCCTATCCCCATCAGTACTGTGCCCCAGTGTCATACAGTGACAGACTGGTCTCCTCTGTTACTCTCCCCACCAGTGCAGCATCCTAGTATTCGAGTGACAGACTTCTCCCCACCAGTACTGCACTGGTGTTATACTGTCAAACCTGTCCCCACCAGTACTGTATCACAGTATTATACAGTGTCAGACCTGTTCCCCCTCCTCAGTACTGTACCTCAGTGTTATACCGTGAGACCTGACCACACCAGTACTGTCTTCTAGCCTTATTGTATCAGATCTGTCCCTACCAGTACTGTATCCCAGTGATTTAGTGACAGACATGTCATCACCAGGGGTGCACCAGTGTTAAAAAGCAACAGATCTCCCTGCCAGTAATGTAACCCTGGGTTATATAGCAACAAGCCTCTCTACCACCAGCATTGCGCCCAAGACCGAAACAATTTAAATTGCTCTTTCCATTCAATAGAGATTGCATGGTCAGAACCAGCAATGACACAGCTGGTTGTTTTCTAGTTAAAAAAAAAATTCTAAGTCACCATAACTCTGGAATCCTTGTAGTATTATTGAACTGCATGTATTCCAAGGTAATTATTCATGCAGTGCATTACTGGGCAAAGATGAGACATACCAACCATGCTGCATGCTGGTTTGGTCCACACCACAGCATGAAAGAATAAGAACAGGAAACATTGGAAATACCCAGCTGGGCAGTCAGAAGCTGGAGAAAATGAGATATGCTGATGCCAGACAGATAGCTTATTTAATGTCAAGTGCCAACCAACCCGTCTGCGTTTAATTATGTTGAATTATTTGAATGTCACTCTGCAGACCTTGTGTCGCCAGAGCTTCAAGTCCTCCCCACCGCTGATTCTGTCTTTTCTTCAAACTGATATCGATGCGCGAGGTTGTAAAGGTGTACTGGCACTGCTCTGGATTAATGAGATTCCTGAGAGAGAAGAATAAATTCAGTCATTATAGATTGTCAAAGATAACTCTGAACCACAAACCCACTAGCTTCCATGCATTGTTCAATGACTGATCATATTGTACCCTACAGTTGTGTCACTTGATTTATCATCTCAGAGACTCTGAGGTGGTCATGGAAAATGATATGGCAACAGAGGCCAAGAGGCTATTTGATTTCTACTTCATTTGTGCGGAGTTGCAATAACGTTGGACTAGTCATTCAGAAATGCAAGTTCATGCACTAGTGGAAGGAGTTCAAATCTCATTATGGCAGATGGTGAAATTTGAATTAAATAAAACTCTGGAATAAATAGCTGGCCTAATGGCTATCTTTAGCTCTAATGTGCCCGATGAAGAACCAATTTGGTTCATTAAAGTCCTCCAGAGAAGTAATACTGCTGTCCTTACCTGGTCTGGTCTACATGTGACTATAGACCCAGAGCAACGTTAGTGGCTCTTAACTGACCTCTGAGTAATTAGGGGTAGGCAGTAAATACTGGCCTAGCTAGTAATGTTCATATACCATGAACAATTAAAAAAAAAACCTTTGCTTCCTGATGAGATGTTGCAAAGGCAATACAGCTGAAGTTTAAGCAGCAGTGGCTGGAAAGAGAGTGGAGGTAATCAAATTGGTTGTAGAACATTTCAAATACTTCACCAGATATTGTGATGGGTGAATGGTGGAGATGAAAATGGATAAATGCTTTGAAGTTTTGTTTCATTACCTTTAGGGATGAAACTGATATAAATATACAGCTTTCTCTCAAGGCTGAATTACAAGGAAAGACAGCATAATCTTGGGCTTAATTGTGAAAACAGGCAAAAGGCAATCCTGTACATTTAAAGTTTCCCTGCTTAATGCCATTTTGATTTAATGCCAGTAAGTTGATGGGGCTTTTAAACTTGTTGAGCACCTCAAAATTAATTTGTCTTCACATGAGCAACCTAATTAGCACGTCTGCAGCTCTTTGGGGCATGGGAATCAATGTCCGGGAGCATAGATTTAAGGTAAGTGGCAGGTGGTTTAGAGGAGAGGGAAAGAAATATTATTTTTTACGCAGACTGTGGTACAGGCAGAAACACTCAACATTTAAGAAGTGTTTAGATGTGCACTAGCTATGCTAAGGCACAGAAGGCTACGGGGTTAAATGCTGGAATGTGGGATTAGAACGTTCGGTGCTTGTTCTGGACTGCGCAAACTCGATGGGCCACAGGGCCTTTTTCTATGCTGCAGACCTTTATGATCATCAGTGCAACAAGTATGTTTGCACACTACTTTACCCACAGAACCTGAATTTCAATCGAAAGGCAATCTCTTATGCAGTTTCAAAATTTCATCTCATGGGACTAAATCATAAAATTACTTATTATTTCAACAACCAAACGTCACACGAGGAAGAAAATGGAAACATTTGTGTAAAGAGTGTTGACAAACGTTTAGCTGATTTGTAGCAAGTGCTGGATCTGAGCTGTGTTCTTGACGTTGTGTGAAATCACGTGCAGCAGATACTCAATGGGCTTTTGTACTTGGAAACTTGATCAGAAATATTTCTTCAACAAATGGTCTGTTACATATTGGATCAGAGATAGTAGGAACTGCAGATGCTGGAGAATCCGAGACACCAAGGTGCAGGGCTGGATG